CGTGTTGACCGCGCAGACGAAAAAACAATAGAAAGGAACTGGAACTGAGTCCCAAGTTCACCATCTTGATTTCATTTTTTGAAATTTCTATATTTTACTTAATTATTTTAATATATTTAATCTTTCACTTCTATACAGAACAATTCTTCGATGCCCTCACAATATTTATACACAAAACGACTTAAAATTGAACACAGACTAACTAGCGGATGGATAGTTAAAATACATTTGGATAACGAAGTCGATAAATTTGAAAATTTCATATTCATGACCATAATAAATTCATTAATTTTTCTAAACAAACAAACATTTAGAACAAATAATTCGCTGTACAAAGCCTTACCAAATAACATTAAATCTTTCTTACACTTTAAAGTCGACCAACACGCGTTTATTTCTTCAAAATACAGATATTTTGTTCCCTTTCATACGTATTTTGGCTTGAAAACTTTTCGGCCATTTTGAAATTTCAAATCCTTTCCCGCCGTCCCGCATCGCGCGTGTTATTATAATCACTCACCCAGTGTGACCAGGTTTTTTCAGGGGCAATTACCACATCCGGCTGCATAAAATTACTACATTGGGTCAAAAATTACCACGGTACCATGGTCCCAAAAATGTTGGCGAGCAGGGGGAGATCAAAAAATATCTTTGCGGACAAGCACCAGTTAAATTAAGGTCCAAAAAATTTTTCCCGACAAATTCCTGTTAAAACATGGGCAAAACCCTTTTTTTTAACCAAAATCTGTAAAATTTTGTAGGTCTGGAAATTTTAGGTCTGGAAACAGTACCAACTAGAGGGCACTCAGAGACTGCATACCTCCGCCTACGCGCAAAATATTGAAGTAATCTATTGTTATTAGAATTTGAATGGCTGGTGCATATATTATGCACGTCCTAATTACGCATTCAGTATAAGTTTTATTTAATTGACCGGGAAAAGCAAGACAAACTTTTGTTATTTCTCATTCAATTTTAAACCAAATTCAACCAAATTTTAATCAGTTCTTCCTTAGCCGATGGTAAATGCAGTCACAAAATTTCGTACGGATATGTTTGGTATTTCTTGAGTTATCGTGCTCACAGACAAACACACACACATACACACACACACACACACACATACACACACACACACATACAAACCCAGATGATTACATAACCTCCTGGCGGAGGTAAAAATAGCTGACTTACATCTTAATTGACTTTTTTAGCAATTTTCAGATTCAATAACCACAATTCCAAAAATTACCGTAGTAATTACCACAAATTTCAAATTACCACAATCGTTCAAAAATGACCAAAAATCACCACGGTAGTAATGAAATTACCACATCTGGTCACACTGCACTCACCTGACCGATATATAAACTGGATGACTAGTTTTCACAGTTTTACTGCAGTATTTACCAAATTATGAGCAAATACGTTGATAAAATTTAGTTTTCATTGCTTTTATATGATGATTTATAGTACAGGATGTATTTTTCGTTATTTTCACTGCAGTAAATGACAAAAGACTACAAAGGACTTTGTATATTGACTGTGAAAGATAGCTATTCCACATTTATAATAGTTGGGTCCCTAAAACGTGGAAACCTCTTTGCGTACAGTGTAAATAGGCATTGACCATGGTCTTGTTACCATCCTGCCGCTACTGACAGTGTAAAACCATGTACTGTATCTATTTTTATTGTAGTTTATTTACGAATTTTAATTATAATTGGAGAAATCTGTGATACCAAACTGGCCTTGCCAATTTTTAATTTTTCCTATTTGGCATGACGCAAACTTGTCGTGGTAAGAATCAACCAAAATTAATAAAACATTGATGACATAATTTCTTGGCAGAAATGAAATACTCTGAAGTCTGTATTTTGTTTGTACTCGCTGTATTAACTAAAAGATTGAAACAACAAAAGTCATTTTATGACTAATTTTGAATGCAACGCAAAGTATGCATATACTATGTATGAAGTATTTGATAGTTCAACTAACACCCAAACTGTTCATTGAAGAACACTACCTACACTAAATCCCCACATTTGAACTACCACGAAGTATAGGGTTGTGGTGTATATGATTCAATCTAAACTACTCTTCAATCAACTAATGCTTTGTTAAAAAAAGAAGTTTCGTAAATCGTGTCCATATTCGTGTCCGTTTCATTTATCCTTCGCTCAAGTTCAGTTTGTTTCACTCAAATTCCAATGGGTATGTTATTTGGCGTTTGTTATCCCAGGCGTAAAGAACCTTCTCACGAGGGTTGTATGTGACCATGCTGTTGTATCCAAACTTGTTGACAAATTTGATGCCTGGATTGGTCCCAGATCTGGTAGTAGTATCATAGGCGTAGTTGATTGTTGTTGTGCCAGAACTGTAAGTGTCGATGCTGTAAACAACACCACATGCGACAAATGCATTTCCCATGCTCGTCATGGGCTCAGAGGACACACGACAGAAAGTATGCAGGGTTGACAGGGTCAAAGGATCGAGCTGGGTGGCACACAACTTTCCACTGTAACTCGAGTACGAATACAAAGCCCACAAACCGCTTTCGTCCACTGATAAATCCATTGTGTTGCGGCTACTCAATGGATAATAATACTTTCGTGGCTTAATTGACCCATGAGGATATGCTTGCCTGGTAACCTTTTCTTTAACCAAGTCGTACTGTACGATATACTTCGAGTTTGCCCTGTAACATAAATTTGTATAGGTCATTAAGAGAACGTATACATTTAGGCAAAAGATACATTCCGTCTTAATTAAAGCCAATTTTCTAGAATTTTGATTATACAGGAAAAAGTGTCCCACAATAGACATGATTCTAACTGAATGAAAAACATTTCAATGAACAATTCTTGTTCTACAGGGTGTATAAAAAAAACTGAACAGATTTGAAATTGCTCTCAATTTCGCAAAACACCTATTTGTATCCGTGTTTTATACATATATAGTTTCCTTGGGTACTTATAATGTAGAATAATGAAAAAGAATTCTCAAACTCAAATTTTGTGAACCAGGGGGTGTATCTTTTCCAACAAACTAAAAATGGCTCGCGCACAAAATTTAAAAGTTGTAATCATATTTTGAGATAATAGATCGAAAATTTGTTGGGTTTCAAATTACTGTACAAAATTTCAGACAATTTGGTTTAGTTTAAGCCTTTAACTATTCATTTTATTTTAAAAAATCAGCCTTTCGCATGCTTAATTAATGCCTTTACCTAATTTGCATATTGCTGACATATGCAAATTAGGCAAAGGCAATATTAAGCATGCAAACAGATGATTTTTAGGAAAAATGTAACTTTGCGTGAATAGTTAAAGGGGCTTAAACTAAACCAAATTGTCTGAAATTTTGTACAGTAATTAAAAACCCGACACATTTTCCATCTATTAACTCAAAATATGATTACAACTTTTAAATTTTGTGCGCAAGCCATTTTTAGTTTGTTGGAAAAGACACACACCCCTAGTTCACAAAATTTGAGTTCGAGAATTTTTTTTCATTATTCTACATTATAAGTGCTCAAAGAAGCTATATACATAAAAAACCGGATACAAATAGGTGTTTTGCGAAATTGAGAGCAATTTCAAATCTGTTCAGTTTTTTTTATACACCCTGTATAAGGCCAAACTGATTGGTACAGACCTGTTAAAGTAAAGATACCGTCCATAGACAACAGATCCTGAACCATCAAAACCATATGGTAGGGTGTAAGTTTTGGCAACCTCTCCAGCTTTGAAGTGATCCATGTCTTCAAATTCCAAAACTTTATTCCCATAAAAGTTATTCATGTACCAAATCTTCTCTGGACCAAGCAATCCAAGAGGATCTCTCATCCATGTTCCGTAATAATATCCAGAATGGTGATGTACGATTGGTTCACCCACTTTCTTAATCTTGGTGCACTTGTCTAAATGGATTTTGTATACAAGTACAAGATAACAAAATAATATTAAACATGATAAATAATGACAGGAACGTCCGCGATAAGTTGGTACATGAAGTTTTATGAAATCTTTTCATTCCAATCCCAATGCTGCAGAAAAAAAAAATATTGTTTTTTCGAGGGAGGCAAATTTGAACTCGCTTCGGAATTAGACCACAAGATTAAAAGAAATTTAAACCACAAGATTAAAATATTATGAACTGCACAAACTGAAGGTTCAAAATTAAAACGAAAAAGTACTTAATATCAGTTATTCAGTCGCACAGTATGAATAAAATTAATTGCTTCAATATAAGAAGATATTCTTTAAAATATATAAAAATATGCAGTTCTTAAGACATTTTACCTTGGGAATTCTCATTAACTTCATCCTGCAAACTGGTTATGGCTTTACTTTTTTTCACGGTTTCTTCCAGTATCTACATAACCAAATTTTTAAATACTGAATAATTCATTATGTTCCAAACACCAAAATTTCTTCCCTAGAGGTTCAGCAAAGATGTAGTGTTACAAGTTACAACAGAAGGAAACCTAAACTAAACTTAATTTATTTATACTGGATATCTGTATCAGTTCTAAACTGTTCTTCCTGGAGGTCCAGTAAGGATCATCTCTTATTGATCCAGTGTTACTACAGGAGAAAACCCAAACTAAACTAACTTTATTTATACTGGATATCTGTATCAGTCCTAAACTGTTCTCCCTAGAGTCCAGTAAGGAACATCTCTTATTGATCCAGTGTTACTACAGGAGGAAACCTAAACTAAAATAACTTTATTTATACTGGATAGCTCTATCAGTTCTAAACTGTTCTCCCTAGAGGTCCAGTAAGGATCATCTCTTATTGATCCAGTGTCACTGCAGGAGGAAACCTAAATTTAACTAACTTTATTTATACTGGATAGCTCTACCAGTTCTAAACTGTCCTTCCTAGAGGTCCAGTAAAGATCATCTCTTATTGACCCAGTGTTACTAAAGGAGGAAACCTAAGCTAAACTAACTTTATTTATACTGGATAATTCTATCAGTTCTAAACTGTTCTTCCTAGGGGTCCAGTGAGAGTCCTTATTGATCCAGTGTTACTATACAGGAGGAAACCCCTTCTGGTTATGGAATGAAAAACAATTTTCAGCCAAAAATTTAACTTACATGCAGCTTTGCCAATTCCAAGCTAAGATCTCCAAAACTTTGTTTCGTTTTACTACGATAACCTTTGAGACTGCGTTTAGTATCAGCTTTCGTGTTTTCATCCTCACCCTTAGTTTCTTCAATTATTGGACTTTCATCTGGATGATCTGGTGCTTGCTCGTCACGTTTAGTTTGTTGTAAGGCGTCGTAACCCTAAACATAATACATACATCGTCAGTCCGTGTAAATAATCTATTAAACCCTCTTAAATAAGCCCACCCATGCACACTCGCTCTTCAAATCATCTACCCTCTTCACAACAAATGTGAACTGATTGAATTTATTAACTGTTCAAGTTCATGTTAGTTTAATTCACAGTATGGTGACTTGAATTTCTCAACAGAAGTTATAGCAATAGACCAAGTAAACCAACTTAAATTTGGTATGCAAAATTTCCCATTTCAATGTTTATTTACACTTTTGAGAGTTAAACCAATGAAACCAAAATACAGTAAAGCCCAGCATAAAAGAACGAGTAAATATTGACTCCAGGCTGAAGTGGTTCTTATATAATCTTACTTCACACTATACCTTTTTCTATTCTACACATTAATAGGGACTGTTGTTGCATAAAACTATTGCTATAACACTAATGTGGTTCTCGTTACATATATCTAAACTTAAAAAAAAAACTTTTAAAAACTTGTATTTTGGGTGCTTAATTACCCAAATTTCAGGCTGGTGTTTCTTAACCTACTAGTCCTTTTATGTGGGGCTTTACTGTATTGCATTTCTCAAAAGTGCAAATAAACATTGAAATGGCAATTTGCATACCTAGTTAAGGTGGCTCGATATAGTTATCACAAAAACCCTGCTCAAGAATCGCGAACTCAAAACCGGGTGACCATTTTTACGCGCAGGTCGCGGAAACTGATTAACAAAATCAAAGAACTTCCAAAATGACCTGACGTGAGCAGTTGCTCGCGCCATATCACGCCATTGCGCGTGTTCTGTAGCGTTTTATGGCAATTGCTGACGTCATTAGAATTTTCTATTTTAGAAAAACGATGCGTTATATCTCTTTATTTTGTCTGGTGACCTATGTTCAAATTTTACATGCTGTATTGCACCGCTAAAAACTTTCATTATACAAAAAATTAAAAAATTCTGTAATGCAAACAAAAATTTTACCGAAGAATATGACATTTTTGCATTTTCCAAAAAAATGGCATTACAGAATTTTTTTATATTTTGCTAATTGTTAGCTTTTCGTCCAAGTAAAATAATGCACGAAAAAAAATTGGGGGTCACCATGCTTTTTTTCCAACTATACGAGACGATAGGCCATTTTGGAGTCAATTTCGTATACGTATGTCGTCATAGCAACGAACTATCTGTTACTAAAACGAATATAATTTGAAAGTAGAGTTATCAAAATATATAAAAAACACAATATCTGCTGAATAAATCCTAAAAATGCGTAGTTTGAACATGTCAAAGTATTAAACACCTGAATTTTTGAAAACTGTATCGAGCCACCTTAAGCTGATCTATTCATGATTGGTCGATAAATAATGATATAATGCAAATATAATGCTTATTTAGTGTACACCAAAAAAAGGTATACAATTACCTTGGCTTGATCTTGGTTTGGTTCAGGCAAAGCCAAAGTTTACAGTATAAACATGGCTTAGCTAGTCCCTGTCTAGTTATCTAACATTTCATTCGAACAGGCTACCATGCATGCTTCATACAACATACAAACTTACCAACATGCCGGCATATACTTACCAGCAAAAACGGCAACGCCAAAAAGAGTACCAAGACTTTGAAATACATTTCAGTCTGAGTATAATTTCTGAATTACTTCTAAATATAAGAAAACAGTAGGGTAGTTTAAAGCAGATATGTGGAATACTGTATAATCACTAATATTAATAATGAAATGGCAAACTTAACCATGAGATAAGGGAAAATGTTCACCAAATCCTGCATGAAACGCAGTCGAAAGTATATTACTGTATTATATTAAGTGTATTCCAATAAAGGGATATCAGAATTTTAGTTGGTAGTATATTATATAGAAAATATAAAGAAATCAGCAAGCAGTCTAGGCAATGTTAGCAAAATAAAAACCAGGAGTGAAATGGTTGACGTTGTGATAAACTACAAAAAATATACAAAACAAACTTAGGACGTGATATTGGGTGGAAACTTTGAACAAAATCAAACTTCATCAATATTTTGCAATATCAAATCAACATTACCCATCATAATGTTCAACTAAACGAATCCAATAATGCTGCATATGCATACAACACTGAAGAATGCTTTTGGAGCGAAATTTTTTTACCAAAGTCAAACCTAATCCAACATTACCCAACATGCATATATGAAATTAACAGACCCAACAATGCTGTATCCAATAATGTAGGATAATTGATTGCACTGTGGACCAACCGCGATGTCGAGCTGGTATAGTTGAAATGGCCTTAATTTGAACACACTACCTATACATTAAATTGAAATATACAGTCAAACTTACCAAGCAGTTTTCTTAAGAATTTGATGTTCTCTTCGCGATGGCTCCTGTAATTCTGTGCGTAACTTTGAGCAAACGTCGTATATAATATGATTCATCATTGCATGGGACATTGACTGACGGTTTCAGCAAATTTCTCTCAGGGAGATCGAAGACACAATGCAATATTTAAACTAGCTTCGTCACAAAGTTTGCTTAACCGGGTCGGAGATAAGGAGATTAAGGTGATTTGAAAGTTTCTTGAAGTAGATTGCATACCCACATAAGTGTTACCATTTCACTTAATTGTCAAACTAGTTTTGAGAAATCCAAGCCATGATTTTGGGACAATTATAGCCACAACACTCATGCAGAAAATAACAAACTAAAACTTCACAACGGTGCATGGATACACATTTACAGCAAGCTAAAAATATCTTTAAACACGAAGCTCGTTCTTCTTGGATTCCTAGGGATGACAATTCATTCGTTTATTTGTCCTAACAGAAAACCTACATTATAAACTTAATTTATACTGGAAAAATGTTCCACATTGTGATGAAATGTTAGATGATAGTAACAAAGTATTCAATTCAATTTATTAATTTACCACTTCATTCAGTTAATTTACTTGATTATTGTAATAAAATTTAGGTATATTTATATTTATGTATGTTATATTGAAAGGAAAGAGAGTGGGGAGATCTCAGGAAGTCGAAGACTTGTATTAAGAGGCCATCTCATTGTTATTCAGAACTGATAAAAATTAAGCCAAAATGTTTTTTGTTTCGTTGTTTAAAATTGAAGCTCCTATATTGACAAGTATTTGCACAAATTGTTTTCAATAAAATATTTTTGCAATTTTCGTTTGAAAGAAGAAGTGATATTTATTCCTGTTATTGATGAAGAAAGACAATGGACCTTTCCCCTTATAACTAAAATTTTGGTCTATAGACAAGTCTAGACAAAAATTTCATCACAGCTTGAAAGAGCATCACAAAATTAGTAATATTCCAAAGTTTCGTTGCGAAATGTTGTAAAATGAGAATAATATAGCCCTGCGAAATTTGCAATTTTCAGTCATTTTGTATTACAAACGGAAAATTGATGCCCCAACACCCGATTGGGCTGTCAATTTCCCATGCGTAGTACAAAATGACTGAAAAACGGCAAACTTCGCAAGGCTATATTATCCGCATTTTACAACACTTCGCAACGAAACATTGGAATATTACTAATTTTGTGATGCTCTTTCAATCTGTGATAAAATTTTTGTCTAGATCAAAATTTTTGTTGTAAGGGGAAAGGTCCATTCCATATTTTCGGACCCTGATGTAGGACAGTTTTATGTTAGTTCGACATGCACGACACCTATATTTGGCCCCCTGATGTATAAGATAGTGAATTGTTTTATGTTTTATGTTATAGTTCGACATGCATGCACATAGTAACTGTTCAGAATGAAATATCCAACTACAGTATCAGGGCATATTTTAACTATGTAACTACTGGGCATTTACACCAGTAGACCCTTTGCTTGCCCCATGCAGTAGTGAAACAATATTTTCAGATGAGCTGGGCCCTTCTGATCATGAATTAAAAAGTATCCTTGTTGAAAAAGCTGCATCTGCCTGCTTTAATTCTCCTCTCTGGCTCTCACATTCTCGACACTCCATCTTACAAAAGTCAGCACAGCATAGACAATGATGTACGCGCAACTGTGTGAGGAAAAGGCCCTCATTGAAAAGGCCCCAGTAGTTGTAATTTCTTAAAAAATGCCCCCACAGAATAGCACATAAATGTACCCATGGCTTCTCATAGATCATAATAAATTATTCCACCCCACTATATGTTTTTTGTCAAAATCAGATTAATATGATTCATCATTGCAAGACGTTGACTGACGGTTTCAGCAAATTTCTCTGAGGAAGATCGACAACACAATGTGAAATTTAAACTAGCTTGGTCACAAAGTTTGCTTAACCGGCTCAGAGATAAGGAGATTAAGCTGATTTGGATGTAGATTGCATGCCCACATAAGTGTTACCATTTCACTTAATTATCAAAATCCCAGCCATGATTTTGGGATCCTGGCCTATCATAAACTAAGTGAGTTTATCATAAAATTTTCAAGCTTATACAAAAGTCTTCTAAATAATTAATATATATATATAGGATAAATTCATTTCCACGTAAGAATATTATCTCAGGATAGACTTGTCTACACAAGTACATTTCCTAAAGGCGATGCATGAATATAGATAGCTATACAGTCACATATGCAGTGGTATGGTGGCAAAACTCTCAGTGTGTTAAATTTACAGCCAACTGAATGCTTTATAATGGATGAATTTCTTTTAAACACTAAGCTGTTCTTCCTAGCTGGACTCTATTTTTCTACAGGAGGAAACCTAAACTAAACTAACTTTATTTATATACTGGATAGCTCTATCAGTTCTAAACTATTCTTCTTAGAGAGTAGACGTCCAGTATATATAAGGATCATCTCTTATTGATCCCGTGTTACTATACACATGCAGGAGGAAACCTTAAAACTAACTTTATTTATAATAGATAGCTCTGTATATCAATTCTATGTATTGTCATTTAGGTCTGTTGGCACGCTGCGGCTATGGAAACAGGCAACTTTAGATGTGCTTATATGTGTATTATAATGATGAACAATGAATGGGTGACATAACTATCAAACATCCATCACTTGTAGTTACATATATGAAACTTCCCAGACACTACAGTCTAATTAGCAGGGCATTTTTTGATACCGTATAGTGCGGTGGGGGATTTTTCTAGTGCCCCGCTACTCGAGGAAAAAGGACTTGCTGCCCCAGTTGACTGCATGGCTATAGTTATAACTATATATACATCATATGTATAATTGTTTTAGTTTGTAGAAAACAACGCATTTATTTATTTAGCAAAGCTTTTGACCCATAATAAATCAATTATATTTATTATATCAATAAAATAGACCTCATGAGTTAGGGCGGGGCCTTTCGCACATTTTTCCCTATCATCGAAAATTTCTCAAAAAATGCACTGAAATTTAATGCATAATGCATGATTATAGTAGAGCTTTCGCTGTGACCAACATCGGTGTCCTCGCAGACTAATTGATTGCATGCAGAATACAGAATTATTTAATATTTTATTAATTTTAAAATAGTTATAATTTTGAGTATATTGAGTGTCTCGCTCACTGGTGAGCGGATTTGCCAACAGGCTATTGCCCAATTTGATAGGGGATCCGAGGTACCTACGATTTAACGTCCTCATCCGAGGAGACACGAAAGTCTAACAATGGACCTTTAACCTTATAACTAAAATTTTGATCCGATAGACAAAAATTTCATAACAGCTTGAAAAAGCATCACAAAATTAGTAATATTCCAAAGTTTCGTTACGAAATGTTGTAAAATGCGGATAATATAGCCTTGCGAAATTTGCAATTTTCAGTCACTTTAGATTACAAACGGGAAATTGATACCCAAATCGGGTGTTTGGGTATCAATGTCCCATTTGTAATCTAAAATGACTGAAAATTGCAAAATTCGCAAGGCTATATTATCCGCATTTTACAACATTTCGCGACGAAACTTCGGAATATTACTAATTTTGTGATGCTCTTTCAAGCTGTGATGAAATTTTTGTCTAGATCAAAACTTTAGTTTTAAAGGTCCAATTCTTTCTCCTCAATTATTTGAAGACCTTGGGTAGAGGTCCAACCAAGGATTGAATCCAGATCTCCCAGTTTGAAAGGCAAGCGTTGAAGCGTGGTAAACACATGTGCTGGTTCAATACTAATAAAAATACTACACTAATACTAATAATAATAATAATAATAATCTGTTTGATAAACTGCTAGCTTTGCAGTATAAACTGAATTACACAGTATAATTATTTCATGGCTGTCGTATATATAATGAGTGCAATTCATGTAAACAGTATTTGACTTGCATGTATTTGACAATGTTTCAGCTGTTATGAATAAATTACTTTTTAGTGAACATATTTTATGTTAGCAAGTATAGCATTCGCAAGATGGAGCTCCACATAGTTTTTTAAAGCAATGTTTTCTATATTTCTGAGTGGTTCTGGATAAAAACTAGAAAAGATCTTGAATAAACTAAATGGACCAGGTTTGTTTAGATATTGTTGAGTGCTTCATATTTGCAAATGGAAATTACTACAGTATATTGTGCAAACGCACTTGGCAGTAATGATATGTCACTCGTCGGTAATATTCGACAAAATAAAAGAGCTTCACTACTCTATCCATTTATTAACTAAAAGATCAGCTGGATTTTCCGAAACCCTACAGTGGCTGGCTTAGATCAAGCCGACAATTAACACTACAGACAACTGCAGTTATGTAAAACTAGACACATCAATCAAAGTCATGACATTTCATACGAGATATAAACCATTATCACAGGTACTGACACAGGATCCTGCGACTATGACCTATTATATCAATATATAATTCCCCATACATAATCTCTATTCAGTTATATCTGATCCCATACATAATATCCAAACGGTCTGCATACAGTTATATTAAAGCAATCAGTGCAGAAACACGCGCAAGTAAAGCCATACAGTTACACCAAAGCGGTCAGTGCAGAAACACGCGCAAGTAAAGCCATACAGTTACACCAAAGCGGTCAGTGCAGAAACACGAGTGAGTAAAGCCATACAGTTACTCCAAAGCGGTCAGTGCAGAAACACGCGTGAGTAAAGTCATACAGTTATACCAAAGCGGTCAGTGCAGAAACACGCGCGAGTAAAGCCATACAGTTATACCAAAGCGGTCAGTCCAGAAACACGAGTGAGTAAAGCCATACAGTCGTACCAAAGCGGTCAGTGCAAAAACACGCGCGAGTACAGCCATACAGTTATACCAAAGCAGTCAGTGCAGAAACACGCGCGAGTACAGCCATACAGTTATACGATCCAAAGCGGTCAGTGCAGATAGTTTGCAATGCTGAGAATTAGGCAAATATGTCAATTGTTAGAATAGCTTTTAAAGTAATGAGGCATATTCAAAAAACATTTGGTATATAAAAAATATTTATTGAGTAACGTTTCGTCACATTACAAGGGACATCATCAGACTAAATACAGTTAAGCTATTTCACCTATTTTATAACAAACTTTGAAAAAAATATATGATATACAATTACAAACGGTTTTAACTAGTTAAAATTAGAAATATACAATGTTCATGGTATATTGACATGTACAAGATACTGAGATTAGTGATTAGATATAATTGTATATCATAAATTTTTTCAAAATTTGTTATAAAATAGATGAAATAGCTTAATAACTGTATTTAGTCTGA